TCGCCCGGCCCCGGGGCGGGGGCTGCCACAGCTGCCAGCTTTGAGCCCATATGGGCTGGGAGCTGGTAACCCGATGCTGGGGGCCTGAAGCAGCCCTCTGCCCATGGTTGGGCTGTGGGGAAGGGGCCGCTCCCAGGTACTGTTTAACCATTACCTGCTAACATTACCCTTAACAGGTTATGCTTAAGGGTGATGCTTACCAGGTAACAGGTTAACCAGCTACCCATTAACATCCCTAATGGATGGCTAGGCAATGGAGCAAGGAGGGGGAAACAGTGGTGGGAATTGAGGATCATGGGAAGGTCATGGCCTGAGTCTATGATACACCAGCATTTCTCCTTCCCAGACAGACCGTCTTTCCAGATTAAATTTTACACGCTTTATCACCGGGCAGGAGGGGCAACAATGGCATCTGCTTATGATCTCCCAAGTTTACACAGCTCTAAAGAGACAGAAGCATAATGTAAGCTGTTGCTTCCATGTTGAGGTAGTAGGAAACTGGAGACCAGCATTCTTTGTTCCCAAAACTGGAGATTTCTGACATGGTAGCTTGGCTTCTGGTGTTTCAAATAGCCTGTTTCAAACCTCCATAGGCTGGTTGCAGGATGGGGCCACTACTGACTTGGATAATTGACTTTATTTTTAGATGTTTAATGGAACTGCACTCCCATCCTACTTAGGTTCAATTATCACAACTGCCAAGTTCCACTGGTGACAGATGTCTTGGTCAAGGTGGCAGATATTTGTGCCTCTTTCAAAACAATAAATATAAAAATAAAATGAAAGGTTTGCTTCACCCTCAGATTATTTTTTTCTTCTTTTCTTCTGATCCAATTTAATGCCTGCTGCTGGGGGTACGAGTTGTCAAAATGCCATTCTGAACAGAGAGCTCATCTGGAGGTAAACCTTGGGAACCCCACCTAAGGAGAAAACAGTAAAGATTGCCATGTATTTTATTTTTTATGCTACAGCAGCAGAGCTAGCCTTACCATGAGGCGAACTGAGGTGGCCGCCTCAGGTTCCAGACTGTGGGGGGGGGGGAGGCGCCACTAGGACCCAGAGTGTAGAAAATTGTGTCTGCTGTTGATGCAGCGAGGAGGCATGGGGTGTCATTTGAGTTCCCCGCCTCAGGTACCAAAATGTTGTGGGCTGGCCCTGTACAGCAGCATGCTTCACTTCTGGGTAAAATAGTGCCTTTCTACTGAGCATGCTATTACAAACACCCTGCATCATACAGTGTATTAGACTGTGAGATAGGAATATCTACGTGACAAAAATCAGTCTCATGGCAGTGAGGCTCCAAGCATGGATCTACAGAATTATGCTCTAGTGCTGAAAATAGCCAGGCAGATATTTGGGCTCTTGCTCCAAAGCCCAGGGAGAGAAGTGAGTTTCAAAGCCCAAACCCAAACATCTACACGGATATTTTTAGAGCTACAGAGTGAGCCTAAGTTTGTAAACCCAAGCTCAGAGACTCACTGAAAAGTTCCATTGCCTCATTGCCAGCCTTGGGATCTGAAAATTCTTCCTAGGATGCTTGTGGATCACCAATAATAAAAATTATACTTCACGAATTCAGCTATCACTCCCTCCTGTAAAAGCCCATTGTATTGACATTCTGGCCTCTTTTATGCCTATTTATACAGTGTCCATCAGGTACTTCTAGACTGCCAATCACCTAAAGGCATCTAAATCCTATCACTGGTGACCAGATATGACCCTCCTCTTGTCTGGATCTGTCCCTTGAGGTTCTGGGCTCCCCCTCAACACTGGGAAACCCATGCTGGCACTCCAGCTCCCTCTCCCTCATATCCCTGTGAGGCTAGAGCACAAAAAATTTACTAGCTTGGGCCCGCCTAGGCTCTGGTGTGCCAGGGTAATGTGGGAAGTGCCTTTCTCCTTCTCGGGGGCCATGTCAGGGAGGGTTTTTTGTTTTATTTTTGCTTTTACTACCCCATGCTACTCATCCATGTGGGCACTAATGATACTGCAAGGTGTGACACTAAGCAGATCAAGAGTGACTACAGGGCTCTGGGAGTACGGGTGAAGGAGTTTGGAGTGAAGGTGGTGTTCTCTTTGATCCTTCCTGTCATAAGTAGGGGCCCGGGCACAGACAGATGCATCCTGGAGGTAAATGCCTGGCTGTGAAGATAGCATTGCCAGGAAGGCTTTGGCTTTCTTGACCATGGGATGCTATTCCAGAAAGGACTGCTAAGCATGGACGGCGTACACCTCTTGAGGAAGGGGAAGACCGTATTTAGATACAGACTGGCTAACCTAGTGAGGAGGGCTTTAAACAAGGTTCAACGGGGACAGGTGAGCAAAGCCCACGGGTAAGTGAAAAACATGGAGACTTAGGAGATGGGTCGGAAATGGGAGAGAATGTGGGCTATAATAGCAGAGAGAAAGGAGGTACAAGGCAGAACTGGGAGGCAAAATCAAATCACTACCTTAAATGTCTCTATACAAATGCAGAAGTATGGGTAATAAGCAGGAAGAACGGGAAGTGCTAAAAAATAAATGCAATTATGACATTGTTGGTGTCACACAGACTTGGTGGGATAATACACATGATTGGAATATTGGTATAGAAGGCGGAAGAGGTGAATGAGGCTTTTTTTAAACAATTAACAAAATCATCCAAAGCACAGGATTTGGTGGTGATGGGGGACTTCAACAATCCAGATATATGTTGGGAAACTAACATAGTGGGGCACAGACTATCCAATAAGTTCTTGGACTGCATTGAAGACAACTTTTTATTTCAGAAAGTTGAAAAAGCTACTGGGGGGAAGCTGTTCTAGATTTGATTTTAACAAAAAGGGAAGAACTAATTGAGAATTTGAAAGTGGAAGGCAGATTGGGTGAAAGTGATCATGAAATCATAGAGTTAATTATTCTAAAGTATAGTAGAAGGGAGAACAGCAAGTCCGAGACAATGGATTTCAGGAAGGCAGATTTTGGTAAGCTCAGAGAGCTGATAGGTAAGGTCCCATGGGAAGCAAGACTGAAGGGAAAAACAACTGAAGAGAGTTGGCAGTTTTTCAAAGGGACATTATTAAGGGCCCAAAAGCAAGCTATTCCACTGCTTAAGAAAGATAGAAAATATGGCAAAAGACCACCTTGTCTTAACCAAGAGATCTTGCATGATCTAAACATAAAAAATGAGTCTCATAAGAAATGGAAACTAGGACAAATTACAAAGGATGAATATAGGCAAACAGCACAGGAATGCAGGGGCAAGATTAGAAAGGCAAAGGCATAAAACGATCTCAGACTAGCTACAGGCATAAAGGGAAACAAGAAGACATTCTATAAATATATTAGAAGCAAGAGGAAGACCAAGGGCAAGGTAGGCCCACTGCTCAGTGAAGAGGGAGGAACAGTAACAGAAAACTTGGAAATGGCAGAAATGCTTAATGTCCTCTTAGTTTTGGTCTTCATGAGAAGTCTGATGAAGGAATGCCTAACATTGTGAATGCTAGTGGGAAGGGGTATCAGAGGGGTAGCTGTGTTAGTCTGGATCTGCAAAAGCGACCGAAAATGGCGATCGGGGCTTTCTTGCGCAAAACTGCGTCTAGATTGGCACAGACGCTTTTCCGCAAAAAGAGCTTTTGTGGAAAAGCATCCGTGCCAATCTAGACGCTTTTTTACGCAAATGCTTTTAACGGAAAAACTTTTCCATTAAAAGCATTTGCGCAAAATCATGTCAGTCTAGATGTAGCCAATGGGTAACAAGAAAATATATCACAAATATATTAAAAGCAAGAGGCAGACCAAGGACAGGATAGGGCAATTACTCAATGAAGAGGGAAAAACAATAACAGAAAACATGGAAATGGCAGAGGTGCTGAATGACTTCTTTGTTTTGGTTTTCACCAAGAAGGTTGGTGGTGCTTGGATACCTACAATAATGAATGCTGGAGAAAAGGAGTTAGGTTCAGAAGTTCAATTGGGAAAAGAACAAGTTAAAATTTACTTAGAAAAGTTAGATGTCTTCAAGTCACCAGGGCCTGATGAAATGCATCCTAGAATACTCAAGGAGCTGACAGAGGAGGTATCTGAACCTTTAGCTATCATCTTTGGAAAATCATGGAAGACAGGAGAAGGGCAAATATAGTGCCCATCTATAAAACGGGAAATAAGAACAACTCAGAAACTACAGACCAATCAGTTTAACTTCTGTGCCAGAAAATATAATGGAGCAAGTAATTAAGAAAATCATCTGCAAACACTTGGAAAATAAAAAGGTAATAGGGAACAGCCAGCATGGATTTGTAAAGAACAAATCATGTCAAACGTATCTGATAGCTTTCTTTTATAGGATAACATATATGGCCCATTCATCTTAAGACATGGTGGTAAGCAGCAGCAGTGACAATCTATGGGTTGTAACTGGATCTGCAACTTCTTTCATGGCTTATGAGTCCAAAATTGGATTTACACAGTTGATTACAATAACTACATGCCAGACTACTTCCGTTTTCATGAGTCTGAGAATTTTTCCTTTTGAGGTAGAGTTCTTTTGCATGACTTGCCCAGGTCCTATCGAAAAATGATGTGCCCTGTTGTAATAATTGTTGCCAGGTGTTGCGATCTGATGACGTAGATTCCCAAGAGCTTGGATTGATGTTAAACCTTTTCATAGTGTTTTTACATATATCCTTGAATCTTAATTTTGGCCTTCTTCTTGCCCTTGCTCCACTCGTTAGTTCACCAAAGAGAATTTCTTTGGGAAGGCGTTTATCATTCATTCTCCCTCACATGGCCAAGCCACCAAAGTCTTCTGTTGTTAAGGATCTCTATGAGACTGGGTATACCAGCTCTTGATAGGACATCTACATTTGAAACTTTGTCTTGTCACTTAATATTCATGTTTTAGGATAACAAGTCTTGTGGATAAGGCAGAAGCGGTGGACGTGGTATACCTAGACTTTAGTAAGGCATTTAATACGGGGTCTCATGATATTCTTATCAATAAAATAGGCAAATACAACTTAGATGCACTACCATAAGGTGGGCGCATAACTGGCTGGATAACCATTCTCAGAGTAGTTATTAACAGTTCACAATCCTGCTGGAAAGGTATAACAAGTGGGGTTACGCAGGGGTCTATTTTGGGACTGGTTCTGTTCAATATCTTCATCAACTATTTAGATATCGGCATAGAGACGCTTACTAAGTTTGCAGATGATACCAAGCTGGGAGGGGTTGCAACTGCTCTGGAGGATAGGGTCATAATTCAAAACGATCTGGACAAATTGGAGAAATGGTCTGAGGTAAACAGGATGAAGTTTAATGAGGACAAATGCAAAGTGCTGCACTTAGGAAGGAACAATCAGTTTCACACATACAGAATGGGAAGTGACTGTCTAGGAAGGAGTACGGCAGAAAGGGATCTAGGGGTTATAGTGGACCACAAGTTAAATATGAGTCAACAGTGTGACGCTGTTGCAAAAAAAGCAAATGATTCTAGGATGCATTAACAGGTGTGTTGTGAGCAAGACACGAGAAGTCATTCTTCCACTCTACTCTGCGCTTATTAGGCCTCATCTGGAGTATTGGATTGTGTCTAGTTCTGGGCACTGCATTTCAAGAAAGATGTGGAGAAATTGGAGAGGGTCCAGAGAAGAGCAATAAAAATGATTAAAGGTCTAGAGAACATGACCTATGAAGTAAAGCTGAAAGAATTGGGTTTGTTTAGTTTAGAAAAGAGAAGATTGAGGGAGGACATGATAGCAGTTTTCAGGTAATTGTTCTTCCTGGCCTCTGAGAACAAGAAGCAATGGGCTTAAATTGCAGCAAAGGAGGTTTAAGTTGGACATTAGGAAAAAGTTCCTAACTGTCAGAGTGGTTAAACACTGGAATAAATTGCCTAGGGAGGTTGTGGAATCTCCATCTGTGGAGATATTTAAGAGTAGGTTTGATAAATGTCTATCAGGGATGGTCTAGACAGTATTTGGTCCCTTCGAGTCCTAGTATACTATGATTCTATGATTGTGTGTGGCCCCCAACTGATTTTTCTGTTGGTCAGCAGCCCCTGATCCAAAAAAGGTTTCCCAGCCCTGTCCTAAGGGTAACTGTGTGGGGGAACAGAACTCTGGACTGGCACTTTGTTAAAAATTCAATTGCTCAGTATGAGCAGAATACAGTATATTTTCTATAAGTGAGGGGTCAAGATTCAACAATAGCTGTATTGACTATGTTTGACTAACAGGAACAGTAGTTCAAATTGAATCTTTTCCTTGGAGTAAGTAGAAAATACCTTAAACATGCAGGGGGAATATCTCTTTGCAAAGCACATTGAGTTTCTCAGATGAAAAGCACTATAAAATTATTATTCTCTATTGCGTAAGTCGATCACACTTTCAGTCACTTTTCAGAAGAGCCATATGCTGATGGCTTTTTTCTGATTTCAGTGATTCATTGCACTCAGATGGGCCCAACCCAGCCTCTCACCCCATCCCAATAATCTCTAGTCCTGGATCCAGATTCAGTTCCAAACTGTGTGACTCCAGCCCTTCTCCCTGCTGCTAAGCTGCAGCTGGGCTGCTTTTTTAAAGCTCAGTGATTTCACATACCTGCTGATCTCTACATCATCAGTCAAGAGGCTTTCCAATCTAAAAGGCTGGCTGAGAGGAATCTCTCGTGAGAGGATAGCTTCTTGCCATTCGTGATATATCATATCATTGCGGAATTCCCAATTGAAAGCCCCTTCATAGCTCAGAAAAGCAGCACAAAGCAGACAGTCACCTAGCAGTTTCACTTTTCGTATTTTTAACTCCTCCAAGTCATTTGTCCATCTGAAAGAAAAATTAATGAGTCCTTGATCAGTCTGAGATTCCTTCTGCAAGAGGGGGTCAGAGAACTCTCTTTTCTGAAGAATATGTGTAGCATTTCTAAGCCACTTATGTTTTAACTTCAGGTTGAGAAGAGTCCCAAGCCTTCTCCCACATTGGAGCTTCCTTTCTTTTAATCTAAAATAAGTGAATTTGTGTCATGCCTTTAATCACTACTTATCTGCAGCTATATTTTTTTCCTCTCTGTTTAAAAGATTAACTGTAAGTCTCAGATCTGCCCGCAAAAGGCTTCTCGATAGAAAGCTCATATTATTCATTTTTATTATTTTTCAGAAAATGATTAGTTGCTTCTCAGAAATCAACAAAGCACACAGGGTACTATTTTCAAAAGCATCTAAATCCCATTTTCAAAAGTGACTTTCATTGAAACATAGGCTCCTAAGTCACCTCTCAAAATGAGACAAATTCCTACATCAGTTAGGTGCTTTTGAAAATTGCATGCATTGTCTCTGAGTTTACATTTTAATGCTAAAAAACCTCTCTTCTGGCACTAGACTAACCTTATATTTTCAGATCCCAAGCCAGAGATGAGCTTGTCAGCAGCAATAAGTCTCCTTTCCATGATCTCTGCTTCTTCTTGTAACTGTTGTTTTTCCTTTATTGCAGCTTCATACTTGTCACCCAAAGCTTTTAGCTCCCTCTGAATTGTTGCCAGCTCTGTTTGTATCTTTTCCAGCTCACGTTTACTTAAGTAGTAGTTGCGTTCTAACCTAGCCACCTACATTATGAAAGACAGCATGCATCATGTCAGAGGAATAAGGAGTTTGATTTTTTGGTGCAAAATTACTGTTTTTCAGCCCTCAATTGGCTATTTCATGTATATTTAAGACAATGTGATAATAAATAGTGTAAGCAGAATAAATGAGTTTCTTCAACTACTCTCACTCCCCCACAAAATGATTTATACTTTAATTTGATAAAAATAACTGGAAGATTTACCTGGCATGGGTTGGGTCCTTAACTTAAATAATTTTTATTTTTTGGAAAATAAAATAAAAATGTCCATGCTTCATTGAAATCATTGCTCTGAGATGGGGCTGGAGTTGAGGAGGAGTTCAATATGCAAGCTGTCCTGGGGAGAGAGAACTACCCCAGCCCTCACACCACAGCACCCTGGGGCCAGGTGAGAAGTGCCACTCCATGGCTGCTGCAGCATGTCCCCTGGCTGGGGCAGGTCCAGGCTCATCTGTCGCCTGTACTCTTCAGCCACAGTGAGGAATGAAGCAAACTGTGTATTTTCCCCTCACTCCCTGACAAAGGGGAACAGCCAACAATATTCCCATATTAAGGGCCGGCCTGAGCCCTTTTGGCGCCCTGGGCTCAGATGTGCGGCACCACCTCCAGGCGCAGGGAGCATGGGTGGGTGGGTCCGCCCCAGGGGGCGCGGGGCGCATGCGCGGCGCTCCCACATCCCGTCACATTCCCTAAAAGGTGGGAGGCTCAGAGCTGGGACAGTCCTGGATAGAGGGAGAAGTGCCCCAGCCAGACCCTTTCACTTGTCTGGAGATTCTGTCTCTTTTCTGAATGTTTTTATAGGAAGCAATCCAATTCCAGGCACATCCCATTTTTCTGGCACAGCCAAACCGTTACATTGCTTTAACTTATGATCATCCCGTCACATTCCCTAAAAGGTGGGAGGCTCAGAGCTGGGACAGTCCTGGATAGAGGGAGAAGTGCCCCAGCCAGACCCTTTCACTTGTCTGGAGATTCTGTCTCTTTTCTGAATGTTTTTATAGGAAGCAATCCAATTCCAGGCACATCCCATTTTTCTGGCACAGCCAAACCGTTACATTGCTTTAACTTATGATAAGAGGAAACTGTATACCAAATGTCGTGGTCCTAGCTCTTACCGTTTAGGAGGAGTTCTTGAACAGACAAACAGATGTACAGATAGACTCTCTCAGATATATAGTAGATTACATTGCTAGCCCTTTTTAAACAGGCTGTAAAAATGATCCCAGGGAAATGGATTTAATGTACCATTAAGTCCCTCTGTGCCCTAAGGCCAGGGGTATTATTTTAAGAGTGCTCTCAGCAGTCACCTATAATTTTCAATCTGGGCCCCCAACATTATATTGCAAAATTCCTCTATTTACTTCATGTTTTAATGCAATGGGAACTGGTAAAGCAGACCTTCAATACAATAAAAGCAGCAGCTTGCAAAGGAAAGCCTGCTTTCTGAATGTGCTCGACCCTGATCCCGATGAAGAAGATCGTGGGACAGATTCAGAGGGAGCACAATCACCCACCACCAATATATCGGGTGGCAGGGATCTAGCTGGGGAGATCCTTAGCCTTTTCTCCCTTAAGTCTGGGGACGAAATCCGTCTCTTAGGGGTTCTGTCCCGCTGTTCAAAGGTCTCTGCCCTGGGGTCCAGTGCCTTATCGAGGAGGAACATCTTGAGCCTCATCTCTCTGTCACGCCGAGTACGGGCTGTCATTTTTGAACAATGCCCACAGTTATGGGGAGTGTGGCTCTTCCCCAGGCAACGTATACAGAGCGAATGCCCATCTGAGGTAGGCATTGGCTCACTGCAGAGGCTACATTTCTTAAAGCCGGGAGATCCAGGCATGGTGTTTGTCAGTTTCCTTCTGAGAGGGGTTTTTTTTTTAAACTTATCCACAGTTGGTAACAGCAGGGAGCAAGCCTCAGGGAGCCGCTGTAATTAAGAGGCTTGCTTTCTTTCCTTTTTTTTTTTTTTTTTTTAAAGTAGATAAGATCAAAGGACAACAAAAGAACTCTAACTATATTCAATTAACTAAGTAACTACAGGTTCCCTGAGGGAAGAACTACTGTGAGGAGAGAGATCAGAAGCTCCATCTGCATTCAGGGACGGTTAAGAGGAACTGACAGGGAAGCCTGGTGCGCGCGAAGATCAAAGAACGCGAACGGTGCGAGCTGCACCCTGCATACGCGCACCCAGCTGGAAACAGCTATACAAAGCATCGAGCTGCGGTGCGGGACGAGCCCGACACCATGAGTGGAGCACCCACGGGGACCACTCGAAGAGGAATCATCACTTTCATGAATGTTAAGACTTTGAATAGGAGGAACTCTAAAGTACATAAAATTGCCAAGTGTTATTTTTCTGGCAACAAACATGTTGTATTACCTTTTATTTTCATATTTGCACACTGTACCTTTTCTCTCTTTGGCCTTATTTCCTTAGCTACGTCACAATAGCTCATTACTGCGTCGACAAATTTTAACATTCCCAATCCTGCTCTGCTAACAGCTTCCATTTCTTCAAATGTTGTATTAAGATTCTTTAACAGAGCTGAATGTTAACATGCAAAAAACACTGGAAAGTCAGTTTAATAACAGTGCATAAATCACAAGAGCAATAGCTTTTCCTATTAATAAAATCTTAACTAGCTCTCTAGTTCTGGGGTATGCATTGGAACCAGGATATGATAACCAATGCAAATAAATTGTCAATAGAAGATTATTCTGCTGGATCAGCAAGCTATTGTCAGATGCTCAAGGACTTTATGCCAGTTGACTCCCAGAGGAGCTGAGTGAGATCAGGGGTTGGCTCCACATTTTTCAGGATCCAGCCTTTTGCTTGATGGGAAGTAGTCAACATTTATTATTATATGGACCAAATTGTTATATGGGCCAAATTCTCCTCTCACTGACTCCAGTGTAACTCCACTAAAGTCAGTGGAGTTAATCTGGATTTACACTGGTATAAGCATCAGCAGAATTTGATCTGATTAGTTTGAATGACACACTTGTGCTGTATCTTAAATGTTCATCATGAAGATAATGTGACATTATACTTCCCAAGCAGATAAAAAACAAAGTAAGACTCTTCTCAACTAGTTTATGTCTATCTCTAAGCAAAAGTCATTCAAGATTACAATGCAAATTAAGGCACAACCAAAGCACGCACAAGGCCTTTGTGCCATAAAAGTCCTCATTAACCCACAGTGCAAAGCAAGTTGGGCAGAGGCCTCACGCTTGCCTTCTGTAATAGGGTAAATGTCACCCAAAGGGAAGAAAGCTTCCAGCATAGCAGCCAACATCTGACATAATGTTAATAAAACTCTACATTCAATTCTAAATGCCTGATTCATTCAGCTGAACAATTTACCTCTAACAGATTTAACTTGGGTCTGAGTAATTCCATCAAAATCTATCTCCATTAGGGATCGCAGGAAATTTGGGTCAGACATCATTCCTTTGGCAGTCTTCCAGTTTAATTCTTTGTATCCTCTCATTATGAGGATACATTCACAAACAGTCTGCACCTGTTTAGGAGGCTTAGCAAAGGATCTAGAAAATAAATATGGGAAGAGGAGGAGAAAATGTGCACAATGCAGTAAGTATTTAACTCTTGTGGGAAGAGCTTTTTTTTGGTGGAAGGAGCATGGTAATATAGTAAGTGCCCAAGATACCGCCTCATCTGAGTGAGAAGTACAATCCAATCCAAACAAGGAAATATTTATAAACAGAGGGCTAAAAATAAAGTATTACATTCATACAACTTCCTCGGGGTTTGTAATGTTCAGCCATGAGAGAAATAAAATCCTTAACTATGTGTTCACTGGAGTTCAAAGCTGCAGCACCTGCAATAACAGAGAGGGAACACTGGCAGCAGCCATGCTCAGTTGGTCCTGGAAATAACCCTGAGGATTCCCAGCTAAATTAGTGTAATCTACAATGGGAACAAAGGAGATATTAGGAAGGAAAAATTAGATGAGACCCATCAAAATCAGATACTGTGATCTTTTCTTTGAATTAGCAGTTCTGTCCCATCAGACAGTACTTTCTTCTGGATACTCATTTACCAGGTGTATTAAATGTAAATGTGCTTTGATATTCAATACCATTTAACAACTGTGAGGATCACAGGCCTTGAATACGGACCCACAGGCAGCATTCAGGTTACAGACACCACCCAGCAGCTCACCTGAACAAGCAGAGAGGTAACCAGTGAGCGCTAATTCGCAAAGGGGCCATACCTGAAGTGCCCAACAGGGGGAAGCATCTGGCAATCCTTATAGGTTGAGGAGCTCTATATTAACCAAGAAATAACACAAAAGATTATCTGAGCAACCCCTATCGGGTTGCTATTATGGACCCCTCCTGCTTGACTGGCTCCTGTGCCCTTCACTTCTGACAGTCCCTGTCCTCTCCCAAACTCCTGTCTACTCCTCCTTTCTACTTTTTTTGCTCTAATCCTGGTCCGTGATGCTACACCTTACTCCTGATGTTTCCATTTGACCTTGGTTTGGTGCTGACTCTGTCGCTGACCTTTTGACTGGATACCTGACATTATCTTTAGTTCTGACCCGTGCCTCCTAACCACTAGGCATGACTCCTTGAATAACCACAATGACTGTAGGCAGTCAACAAAACTCCTAGGCTACGTCTACCCTCGCGGCTTCTTACGCAAGTATGGCCGTTCTTGCGCAAGAATCTGCAGAGAGTCCACTCTGCTCACCTGCTCTTGCGCAAGAAGATTTACAGTATGGCGTGGTGAGAGAGGGCTTCTTGCACAAGAGCTACGCTATTTTTTAACAGGTGCAAGACCTCTTGTGCAGAACACGTCCACACTGCCACGTGGGAGCTGTGCTTTTGCGCAAGAGCGCTCATGGCAGTGTAGATGCTCTCTTGCACAAGAAAGTTCTAATGGCCATTTTTTTTTAAGCTATAGGGCTTTCTTGCACAAGAGGGCAGTGTGGACACTTGGCAGGGATTTCTTGTGCAAGAAAGCCCTATAGCTTAAAAAAAAATGGCCATTAGAACTTTCTTGTGCAAGAGAGCATCTACACTGCCATGAGCGCTCTTGCGCAAAAGCACAGCTCCCACGTGGCAGTGTGGACGTGTTCTGCACAAGAGGTCTTGCACCTGTTAAAAAATAGCGTAGCTCTTGTGCAAGAAGCCCTCTCTCACCACGCCATACTGTAAATCTTCTTGCGCAAGAGCAGGTGAGCAGAGTGGACTCTCTGCAGATTCTTGCGCAAGAACGGCCATACTTGCGTAAGAAGCCGCGAGGGTAGACGTAGCCTAGGAGTTTTGTTGACTGCCTACAGTCATTGTGGTTATTCAAGGAGTCATGCCTAGTGGTTAGGAGGCACGGGTCAGAACTAAAGATAATGTCAGGTATCCAGTCAAAAGGTCAGCGACAGAGTCAGCACCAAAGTGTAACTGCCAACAGGCAGAACTGAACCTGAGACCTCTTAAACTTAATAAACGAGCCTCTACAGCTTGAGCTATAAAGGCAGCTAATTCTTAGCAGAGGCTGTAGAGCACACTCATTTTTATCTGTCTCTGTAAATGGTCTAAATACCACTATATGGGACTGTGAACTACACCCTGTAGATGTGTGGGTTATACATGCAACAATGCATAAGAAGAAAGGAAGCAGCCCTACTTTGGAAATAATTATATTATGGACCAGGGGTTCCCAAACTTTTTGATACAGGTACCAATAAATCCATTCCCAAGCTTTTGAAGGACTGGTAACATGCATTTGCATATTTGCATATTTATTAAGCACATGATGAATATTCAAATAAGTTATTTCTGGTCCTCCCAAAGCCCCCAGGGCCAGCGTTAGCAAAGCTTTTGATACAATCACCCACAATATTCTTGCCAGCTAGTTACGGGAATATGGATTGGATAAATGGACTGTAAGATGGATAGAAAGCTGGCTAGATCAGGGTTTCCCAATCTTTTTACTTTAGTTGGAACCCGTTTTTTTTTTTTCAGTACTGTTTTTTACAGCCCAAAAATATAAACACATATAAAAAAGAATGAAAAATGAATAAATTTTCAGTGTTTCACCAGCTGCATCCTCCACCCAGCCTGGGCCAGGGTTTGGGGGACCCTGCACCACATGAGCGCTCCAGGAGGCAGGAGCAGGAGCAGATTGGGGATAGGGTATCTGGCTAGGAGGGAGGGTGCAAGGAAGGGTAGGATGCCCATGTGTCGGGTTTTGTACCGGACAGTCCAGTATTTGAAGGTTTTGTCTGGGAAAGAAATTGAGAAATTACCAGACATATAAAATGTCTGGTATTTTCTAATTAGGTACGTTTTATTATAATTAGGCGTATCAGTCCTTAGCTGCGAACTGCCTGGCTGGTAGATGTGCTCACACTGCCTGAGTGTGTCTGCCAGCCAAGCAGTTTGCAACTACTCGAGGGAGGGTATCGGTGGAGGAGTGGGCAAAATGGAATCCCCGGCCAGACTCACTCATCTGCCAGGGTCTGCATGTGTCCAAGTCAGTCCTGCTCCTCCCCCATTTCTCTTTCCCATC